CACTCTTGGCACCTTCTTGTGTCCCAAGCACCTCCTTTGCCTCACCGTAGACCATGCTGAAGCCTGGGGACAGTGATAAAAATGTAGAGGAAAAGAGAATGAATACAGAAAGAAACAGAGGAAAATGAAACCAATGAATAGAAAATTGGGGGGAGGCATAAAGAGAACTGTGTAGATAAAGAGTAAAGGACAATAAAAAGTTGGTAGAGAGAAGACAAATCAAAAATTGTCCCATTTGAAGAGACAGTCTCAGTAAAGAAGTTACAAGGGCTTCTTCGTAACACATCAAATAGAGTAAGGTATTCACAATGATTGAAATGGCGCTGGAAACCTGTGCAATAAAAATAGGCCCCTTTCCTGGCATCTCATTCTCTCCATGGCTTCCGTCACTGTCTATACACTGGCATCTCCAGCCCAGACCCGTCACATAGGCTCATTCTGGCATGATTCCAAAGATCTTTATTGGAAGATCATATAAACATCTGTATTTGGAGGCTGTATCAGTTATCTACTGCTGAGTAACAAACAGTCCCAAAACTTAGTGAATGGAAACAACCATGATTTTAATAACCCCTCTCTCAGTTCCAACATTAAAATATCTCTGACCTGTCCATGTTTCCCATCCCCAGCACACTCACCCTCATCCAGATCCCTGTCACTCTTCACTTCAATAGGAGAACAATCTCCTTCCTCTTGCCTTGCTCCCCTCAGATCCATCCTCTGCATTCAGCTCAATGTATCTTTCAAAAATTCAAAGCAGGTCAAATGGCTCTCCTGTTTAAAACCGGATGCACTCTTGTGGTCCTCAGCATTGGGTCCATGTTGCATGGCGTGGAGTATTGAGAGACACCTGCCACACACTGCATGTTGCCCCATTCCTTTCCTCTCACTCCCTCATGCCACATTCCCACCAACAACACTCCATCGACCTGCTTGAATTTGCCAAGCTCCCTCAACTACATCTCTGAGATTACATGTGTTTTTGGAAAACAGTTTGATATAACCTTCCAATTGTTTTATTTTTAATGGATACTTTCTATAAAGGAATACTGCACAGCAGTGAAAATAAATATGCAAAATGAACACAGGTGACTGTCACACACATAATGTTGAGAAAGTAAGTCAAATTTCCATAACCAGATGACAGAGAAGCTGAAAGGGGGTTAGGGATTCAAAGCTGCCTTCTGGTCATGAATTTCCTCACCTTTTGTGTAGGACCTGCAGCAACCTGCAGGTCACACACATTCAGGCATAGACCTGGGTGACCTGAATTAACAGCTTCTAGGTCTCCCTCGTGCTCTGGTTATGGGGTTTCCTGTCTGTGGGCTCCTTGGCAGCACTCTGAAAACCCAATTGTTTTTGCTCCTCTGTGCAGCGATCATCATTGATGACTCTGGAAGACTCTATGATGAGTCCCAAGGAGACGTCTTCTGGTAACAAAGGAGGCCTGGTAAGGAGGAGGGAGAGAAAGTTTTGGGCTGCAGGAACCTGAATTAAGGGCCACTCTGCCCTCATTTCCTGGTGCTGGGAAATTTGAGAGTTTCCCTCATCCTATGATCAGTCCTACAAGCAAGGGTTGTTGAAGTGAATGACTTGTTAAACTCAGGATTTAAGCTCACCTTGAGGAGTAACACTGAGTCAGAAGGTGTGCCTGCAACCAGAACCCCAGTCCCTGAGAGGTCATTCCCTCAGAAAAGGTGACTGATGCCTATTGAGAACAGTCATGCCCTGTCTGCTCCAAACTTAAGGAGTAGAGAATTGTGTCCTAAAGTCATACTATGCTTCTCATCTCTCCGCAGTTATACTCAAATAGCTCAGAAATCCCAAACTCCAGAATCCTTTGCGCATGAATGAACTGTATAGTTAACAGGAGTCACCGGAGGGGAATAGAAGTGACAACGTGAAAGGAAGATCACTGATTGCACTTAGACACTCTGTACTATTTGACTGTTACCAAGGACATAAATTACCTTTCCAACTCCCCCTAAAATAAACAACCCAAAGCAGTGAGTAAGACTCCCCAAGTGTAATAATGATTTCCCATTTCTGTCTAGTTTTGAAGAAATACTTGTGCACTTAAAAAGCAGATGTTATTCTTAGCCGCATGAGTTTCTAAGCTTAACCTCGTTACTGTAATTCGGTATTTAAGACAAGATTCCTGATCACTCTCAATTGCAATGTGTCTCAACACTGATAATGGATGTCATTATTTTCATCTTTTTTTTAATTTTTCCAGTACAATGACTTTGACCTAACAGAGGCTGAATTGAAGATGAGTTTCAAGAAAGTGTTTGTTCTTTGGGAAACAAAAAAGAACAGGTCACCGGTTAGCGGATGCTGTTGGTGTCCTGAAAACTCCCCTTTTAGAGCAGACTTCTCCTCCCCCAGCTGCTGTGAGGACTGGATGCTGATACCACCCTTCCCCAAAGTTTTGACTTCAACCAAATAAAGGCAGCTTCACCCAGAGCTTGCAAGTCTTTGGCCTGAGGCCTGGCCGCCTCCCCTCAGGTGGAGCCGACGTGTGGAGTGACTCATGACCCTGTGCTCCCCACTGTCATCAGGCTGGAGCTAGCTGTGACCATCATATTCTTGCTTAGCTTTCCCACTGTGCTAGCCGGCTTCCTTCACCCTGCTTCTCCTAATTGAACTTTCACAATAAATCACTTACTGAAGAGATTTCATCTCAGGCTCTGCTTCTAGGGAACCCAACTTTACATAATGGTCCTAGCAAGCCAGCCCTAAGGATAGGGTTCTGGAATTGGATGACTGTCCAGCCAGATGGCAACCCGTGGAATATTGATAGTCCCTCAGTGCTATACCAGTGCCATCAACAAAATTTCCCCTGTAGGAAACAAGGATGAGATATAAAGGAAGAGGCATACTAGCTGGTAAAATTCTCTGGCATTTACAAAGGGAGAGATAGTAACTGTAAGAACTGTGGATTTTGGTGGCTATTTCTAAGCTCCACTAATGTGTTCAAAAAAGTAAATGACAGGCTTAAATCTATTAGTCACCATCTAAAGCAAAGGGACTCTCATACCCGCAGCTGGAAGGCAGACAGTAAGAAAGGCCTGGCACAGGCCCTAATTTCAAGAATGCAGAACTTCAGAGAAGACTGAATTCTAAGCTCAGGGGGCCTCTTGCACCAAATTCAAGGCCCTGATAAAGAAAGCGTGAAGCCCTGAAACTCGGAATGGGGCTTTGTGGGTAGATGCACCTGAGAACTCTGAACTCCAGGTCCCTCTGAACCCACTGGACTACAAAAGAGTGCCTTTGCCCTTACTAGAAGACAGACCACTACCCTCCCCATGCCTTTCTTGAATGATGACTACGCAGAGTCCTCTCTGCATGACTCAAGAGGCAAGTCCTGGGTGGGGCTGCTGGGTAAGGAAGTTTTCAATTCCTAGAGAGCTGCAGGACTGGCCACCATGCACCAACAGGTGCCAGGAGACTGTGTCTGGGAGTAGATCTTAGATGAAGAAAGTGGATCCTGGAATATGACACTGAAAAGAAAAAATGTTGCTACAGACACACTCTCCTGTGCCACAGTTTCATTAGCCTGTCAAGGACCAAGGTGATGATTCTATCACCTTGGGTGGGTCTTAGAGGCCTGCTATAAGGCATGGTACACACTAGATAAAAGTAGAGGTAGTAGACTTGCTAGGGCAGCCTATTAAAAAAGCACATCCGAAAGCCTAGGGAAGGTGGCATGGCTCTACTCTCTACAACTCACAAACACATCCACCAAGTGTCTGTGTCCTCAGGAGGCCTCAAGACACTAATGGAACAAGGTGAGAAGGAACGCCCTGCTGAGGGGTCACCAGCAACCTTGAGGTTCTCTTTAGTGACTGCAGGAATGCAGGAGTATTGTACAGAACTGGATTCCCCAGTAACAAATAAAATATTTATATTTCAGAATAATAGAGACATGTGGCAGAATTTAACTTTCAGAGCTGAATGAAATACTTTCTGTTATAAGTAGCAAGGTGAGAATGACACCTGGGGTGGGGTGGGAAGCCGGCCCATAGATATCTATAGAGATAGCTAATAGGATGTGGTTTTTTTTAAGGCAAGACACTTGAGCAGCCAACAAGAATATTACTGTCATCAACAAGAATATATACATCATCAAAAGGAATTAAAAGTCTATGAGCAGATGGCTGAGGTCAGTTATCCCAATAAAAAGTCAAGATCCTGTGCCCAGTTTCCAGACTTGAGCAAAGTTTTGGACCTAGAACCTGATGACAGAAAAGAGCGTAGGTCTCACAAAAAGTCTTGCAAATGTACATAGTGGTGATTCCCTGAGTTCTTCACTATAAGGACCTATGGCCATTTATTCGAGTAACTGTATGCCAGACAATGGAAAACACACAGATCTTTTCAGGGTTTTTGATACAACATCTGAGTTGATGCTATTGCCTATGGACTCAAAACACCATCACGGCCCCTGTTAGAGTAGAGTGTATGGAGGTAAGGTAACATGCATCTAACAGTGAGTCCTTTCCACCCATGGAGCCACCCAGAAATCATTTCCCAACTTCCCAAATGTATAATCAGGACACACATAGCAGTTGGTCAAAGTGGTTCTTTAACCTATTATTCCTTAAGCTATGAAAAAGCAATGACTGTCTTAGGAAAGGCCATGCAGAAGGCCCTGAAAATTAGATTTATCATAATTACTATTATGGCAAACATAGTCATTTGAAAGCAATATTATATTCCTGGGGAAGGAAGGAATGGTGAGATTAGTGCCCCCTGCAAAGATATCAATATGCAGAGGTTGTAATCCTGTTATATCTCCACTTGACACAGCAGTCTGGCTTCTGGGAAAGCTAGGCAATTCATGGCTACTACGTGACTGCTAGAAACTCAAACTTACCGCAACCAGCATGCAGACCTTGGCAGAATGCATTCCTGCTTATAGCAGTGCCTAAGCAGAGATCCCAGCTACTGGCTCTGCCCTTCTGCAGAGCAGAGCCAGAAGTCCCATATCGCTAGAGAGTCTGGTTGGCAGTTCAGCCTGATATGGGTCCCCAGTCAAGCCATACCAGCATGGAGCCCACTGCTACCCCACCCAGGTGGTAAAGCAACTTTGCAGCCCCAGCCAACTGCTGAATATAGCTCCTGGCCTTTGCCATCCAGAAAGTTTGGCCAGGGAACTTGGCAGCTACAGGGACGAGCCTATGGTATTGATGAGTCACAGGGCCCAGGCTTCAGCCCTGCTCAACAGCAGAACCCCACCTATGGCCCTGTCCAATTGCCAAAACAGACTGTGCCCTCACCTATGTAGGAGCCTAGCCAGTGAGCTCACCCAACCATAGATCGTTGAACTCTACTCAATGGGAGAGCCTGGAGAGCAACCCTGCCAAACAACAGAGCAGTCTCTACCCACCCCCAAATGCAGGATACAGCTGGAGACCCCCCAAACCAGAGAGTGGACATAAACTGTGCTAATAGCAGAGCACAGTCAGTGGCTTTACTGATTATGAAGCCAACCTGTGGCCCTGCCAAATTCAGGGAATAGTCTTCTCCCTCACCTTATAACAGCACAGTATGGGACTCCATCTGACAGCAAAATCCAACCTGTGGCCCCTTCTAAACATGGAGTCCAGCCAATGGCAACATCAGGCTGGGGAATATAGCCTGAAACTACCCGAATAGGAGCTATTGCAGTGTCTACCCTGTAACAATGACCAATCACAGAGTCCAACCAGTGGCACTTCCCTGGTAGCATAACCAGACTAGAGATGATTGCAGAGCCAATCAGGTGGACCCCTCTGACTGGAGTGCACAGTCAACAACCTGCACAATCAGAAAGGCCACCAAACTATGAAGCTCAGCCAGCATCCACCCCTCAACCTCAGAGCATGGCAGTGGCCTTGCCCAACTGAGACCCTGATAACATTCCCCACCTGCCCATGGATGCCACCAATCATTGCATCCAGCACCCCAAGCTGAGCTAACAGATGAAGATCTTTTTTCCTGCCAAAGAGAACCTATAACTTCTGGAAGAGGAGACCGCTTACTCAAGTGCACTGATACCAAGAAAAGGAATCAAGAATCATAAAGAACCAAGTAAACATGAAACTACCTAAGAAAACTAATAAATTCTAATAACCGCCCCTAAAGGAATAGAGACCTATAAACTGTCTGACAAAAAAAAATCAGGCTAATCCTCTTAGATAACTACAAGAATACATGAATAAGTTAATTAAGCGAGGAAAGCAATGCATAAACAAAATGAGAAGTTCAACAAAGAAAAAAAAACTATCAAAAAGACAAACAGAAATCCTAGAGCTGAAGAATAGAATGAATGAACTGAAGAAAATAGACAGCTTCAACCACAGACTTAATCAAGCAGAGGAAAAAAAAGTAAACTAGAAGATAGGTTATTTGAAATTATTCCTCAGAGTGTCAAAGGAAAATTGAAAAAAAGTGAAGAATACCTAAAGGACGTACGCGACATCATCAAGGAATACATATACACATTATGGGAATCCTAGAAGGAGAAAAGAAAAGAAAAGAAAATGGACAGGAAGTCTACTTAGAGCGAAAATTATTGAAAACCCAAATTTGGGATGAGAAATGGACATTCATATCCCTGAAGCCCAAAAGACCCCATAGGTTGAAACATGACCTGAGCTCTCAGTTATACACATTGGGGTGCACTTTCTCCTTAGTTACATGCACAGGGGATTTAGAGCAGGAAGGGGGCAGACGGAAGGCTGTGGCCTGAACCCCTTGGAAAGAGGTGGCTTCATAAATAAGTCCTTGAGATGAAAACAAGATTCCACAACCATAACTCAATCTCCTCCTTTAGCCATATATATATATATATAGCTTTTTGGCAACAACTTATATGTCTTATCATTATAGATGGTTTTTAAGTATTAGCTCTAACTGAAATTTTACAGTAATCCACGTCTTTTTCCCAGGCATATTACTTGTTCTGTTCTTTTGTTTATGAAACAAGCCCACTCTAAGCAGGTGTGTGATTGTGCTCCCATGAGCACAGAAGAATGAAGTGTGCATAGTCTGTTTGTGTGCCTCCTAACAAAGGTGCGCCTCTGATGCCCTGCACACTGCATCACTCCCTCTTAGGTGGGCAGGGGGCTCAGAGGCCTTGGAACCACCGGGGTCTCCAGAAGCAGGGCTGAGCCTGGAAGTGGGCAGGGCTGGTCTGCTGCTTATGAGTGAGGACAGAGATTCCTGCTTCTGATCTGCAGGTGTGAGCTCCTAACAAGCCAGCTTCCTGCAGAGAACATCTCAAAATTCTGGACAATATTCAGAGAACAGCTGCCTGAGACTTCAGGAAAGTGAACGGAGGCAGGGTGACTCTGGAGGGAAATCAAAACTCAGAAGCAGCCAGGGTGAAAATTTCCTGTTTACTGTCGCCCGGCTGTGTGAGCAGCCACAGGCTTGCAGGGGGTGGCCCAATCTCGGCAGAAAGCCCTCTTCCTTCCTGGTTGACAGAGACAGGCAAGAAGCCAGGGTAACTAGATTTTCTGGAGAGCAAGGGGGTAATCCCAGAAAAAAGAAAGTCATAGAGCAGAACCCCAAATTAGCATATAAACCAGCCCAAGTCTCCCAAGCTGATTTCCAAACCAACAGACAGGCAAACCGTAAGACAGATGGAGTTCAAAATACCAGCTTTCTTTCTGGTAAAAGCTGGATCAGGGGACATGGTATATATGGGTGTCAAAAGAAGGATCTCTAAACCTGAACCCCAGAATTGGGCTTCACCACAAGGCCTCAGGCTGTTCCACCCACCACACACACTCCCCCACACCGCACAGGCCACTATCCCTGTGCACTTGAGCTTGGAGGAGCACAGAGCCCTGGCCTCTGCAGGCGGGATGAGCCCAGGAGGACCACAAGGAGCAGACTCACCCTTCCACTGTACCCCCAATCTGAAAGCTTCCCCCAAAAGAAGGGAGGGGGCAGGGGGACCAGGCAGTGATTGATGGGCCAACTTCTGGAACGGGACATTGGTGAGGACCTGAGTGCTCCCCTGAGGCCCCAGGCGCCCGCTCCCTCTCCATTTCTGCACCCACAGAGGGGCTGAGGGTTTCATCCTCTGACCCAGTGGCCAGTGCTGCTGCTGCCGCTTCCTCCTGCCCTTGAATCCTCAGGTCCAGGTCCAGGATGCTGCTGCTTCGTCTCAGAACAAACCTCTGTCCCCACAGGGCCTCCCAGGTTGGAGACTCGGCCCCACTAGTGAAGTCTGAACGGAGGCTGCTCCTGCTGAAGCTTAGGACGCAGTCCCCTTGGTGCATCGGACTCCATTCTATGTCCCTCCTCAGTCACTGCCTCTCCTGCTTGCCAGGTCTCCAGGCCCAGTAGCTCGGCTACTTCCCTGTTTATGGTGTCTGCACAAACAAGAGGACTCCTGGGAGCTGGTCGTGCTCCTCCTCTGGGGTCCTCCTCCCCCGGCCTCCAGGCTCTGACTGTCACTTCTTATTTTCCATTCTTGCTGCCTCATCTCATGATGGCTGCAGGAGGAGGGAGGGAGACAGCCTCTGAGAGCACTCAGAAAGTTACTTTCACTTCTCTTTTCCCCATTTGGGTGGAGCCTTGTCTGTGTGAGTGAGTCAGTTGGCAGGCTTCCTGCTCAGGGCTCCAGCCTCCCTGCACTCAGGAGGGAGAGACCGGAGGGATCAGAAGCCAGGCAGTTCCCAGGACAGAGCCATGGCCAGTGCGGGCAGCGACCTCAGCACCAGGTCAGTCTCTCTCTCTTCCTTTAACTTTCTCTCTGGCCATGTTGCTGCTTTCGGGGCTGTTATTAGACACTCATCTAAACCTTAACCTTAGATAAGAACACTCATATGCAATGTAATGAAATGCAGGAATATGTAGTGAGAAATCCGGTTTTTAAACTGCAGCAGGACAGCTGCTGGTGTGAGTCCAGCGTTCCACCCCCACGTGACTCTTGTTTTACGACCACTGCCTAGCTGGCAGGACCGCCTGGAGTCCGTCCGCTGTCCTGTCTGATGCTTTGAGACAGCGATTGTTATTTCCTGTGACCTCTGAACCTCCTCATTTCCCTCAGGCCTCCTGCACCTTCACCTAGGTTGTTTCAAAGAAGGTACTTTAGAAAACATAAAATTCAGGGTAAACACATGACTTGTTTGCAAACATTGAGTGCTGTGGTCTCGTATGTGATCTGGGGACAGGTCAGCCCTGGGCCTATCCCATCTCTGGCCGTGGGTCTGGGTTCTTCCTCCGCTCATCTTTTTTTTAACATTTTTTTTTAATTATTAGTTTCAGCTGTACAAAACAACATAGTGATTAGACATTTACACACCTCACAAAATGATAAGCCCAATAAGTCTATTACTTATCAGACACTGTACATGGCCATTAGAATATTATCGACTATGCCCCCCATACTGTACTGCTCCACATCCCAGTAAGCCTTCTAGAACCAAAAACCTGCACTTCCAAATCCCCCCACCCTCTTAACCCAGCCCCCCAATCACCTCCCATTTAGTAACCACCAGACTGTTCTCCGTTTCCGTGGGTGTGTTTCTGTTTTGTTTGCTTATTTTGTTCTTTAGATTCCACATGTAAGTGAGGTCATATGGTATTTGTCTTTCTCTGTCTGACTTATTTCGCTTAGCATAATCTTGACCAAAGGGAGTAGAAAGAAGAGAAAGGACACCGAACACTAGTGCAAACTGAGTATTTTAAATTTTTTTTGATGTTTGTAGAAGCTTTATTCATAATTAGAAGTAAACAGGTTGTCCTTCAGTAGGTGAACAGATTTATAACTGTGGTACATCCATACAATGGAATATTATTCAACACTAAAAATAAATGAGATATCAAGCCATGGAAAGACACGGAGGAATCTTATTAAATGCATATTACTAAGTTAAAGAAGCCAATATGAAAAGGCTACATATTGTATGATTCCAACTACCTAATATTCAAGAAAAGGCAAAACTATGGAGATAGTAAAAAGATCAGTGGTTGCCAGAAATTAGGGGTGGGGAGGGGAGGGACGAATGGGCGGAGCACAGAGGACTTTTAGTGCAGCGAAAATATTCTGTACAATACTATAATCGTGTACATATGTCATATATTTGTCCAAACCCATAGACTATAAAACACCAACAGTGACTCCTAATGTAAACTAAAATTTAGGTGATTGATATTGGTTAATGTAGGTTTATCAATTGTAGTACATTATCACTCTGGTAGGTGATGTTGATAATGGGGAAGTTTATGCATGTAGGGGCAGGAGGTATATGGGAACTCTGTACTTTACACTCAGTTTTTCTGTGAATCTGAAACTGCTCTAAAAATTCTTTAAACAAAAGCAACAACAACAAAAAAGAGGAAGAAAATCTTATCACTGGTTACGTTTATGGTATAAGGGGGGAGATCTATTTTTGTCTCATATGGTCAGCTGGATGTTCTTAACACAATTTAATGAATGATTCTGCCCTTACCCACTAATTTGAAAGGCCACCTTTAAATACTTCGATAAGCTTGTATCTGTTTCTGGCTTTTATATCCTGTTACACTGACTTGTGTACATATGTCTATGCCAGTAATACCTTGTTTCAATTATTGTATCTTTACCATATTATTTAATGTACATAAAGACCTCCCCAAAATTAACTTTAATTTTTTTCATTTTGAACAAGTTATGAGCTACGTGAAATACTGCAAGTTGCTGACTGAGGTTTTCTCATTCTCCTTGTGTTTTTCACCATAATTTTTATTAATGCTTTTAATTAAGATACCTATTTACTTAATATGAGTATTTTAAAAGTAAAGTGGAAAATTACATGTAACAAGCACAACAACCATCTTGGCCAGGAAAACAATTAAGATGTAGAATATGGGGTATCATAGACTATATAGATAAATACCATAGAAAAATTCACAGTAAAGTGGAGAATATTCTGGAAAGTCAAATCTTTTTCATGTTTTACCAGTTAACCCCACACACACTGTCCTGATATTTTCACATTACATCGAACAATGAGTGGATGGCCATTTGTAGAAGAAAGTCATATTTTGACACTAATTTTAGTAATATTTTATATTTGGAATTGTTATGAAACATTTACTGAATATTCACAATTTACTAAATAGTAGTCATACAGAGCTAACACAGCAATGAGAGACAACATTTATTAGGACCTTAATGGATTTATAGAAATTCAAAGTTATACAGTAAGGACTGGGTGTCACCAAAAGAGAACATGGATTGACTGCTGTAGGATCATGTCACAGGCGTTATTTGCTTTGTGAGTTCACCATGATCCAGGCCATGGCCTTCAATCTTAGAGGTCTACAGTCTGATCTTGATCATGTCCCAGGATTCATCCAAATCAGGATATGGAGTTATGCTAACTATATCACAAAACTTAAAAATCACAACTTCCCAGCGTAGGACAACAGAAAAAGCAAGGTAACATTGTGAATAATCTTCATTGTCTTCACTGGATGAACTATTTTACAAATAAATGAAGGAAAAAGACTCATAGTGCAATCCTTCAAAGACTGGTTTAGGGTGGGAGAAGTATATTTTACTACTTCTCCGGAGGAGGAGAGTGTGACGTTAGGCTGGGCGATGCAGGAGGAGGTGCGGTGGAGAGAGAGGTACTACCTCCTTTAGGGGTTCCTTCCGGATAATCCCACCGTGGAGCTAGGAGGCAGCGCTTTTTTGGAGGCTTGGTTTCCCGCGTGTTTCCAGGTGGGAGTGTGGATCTCCCGGAGGTACAAGTTTGGTCCTCCATAAGGATTATAGGACCTGGTGGCAACTCTCTCTGGTGGATCCTGGCGAGGCCAAGAGACCTGAGATGGTGGTGGGTCCCCTCCAGGAAGAGAGCTTCCTCCGGGTTTCTCCTATTTTAATTTTGATTTTGATTTTCTTCTCTGGGTTATACCTCTGACAAGGAAAAGGCTAGAAATCCTATCCCTACCCCTCTCCCATCTGGCAACCATCAAAATGTTTTCTGTATCTATGGTTCATTTCTGTTTTGTTTGTTTATTTTGTTCTTAGATTCCACATATAAGCAACATCACATTGCATCTGCCTTTTTCTGTTTGATACACTCCACTCAGCACAAGACCTCCGGGTCCATGCATGACACTGCAGATGGCGAGAACCCATTCCCTTCCCTGGCCGAGTAATAGTCCACTGTATATATGTACCGCCTCCTCTTTATCCATTCATCCATTGGTGGACACCCAGGCTGCCTCCATATCTTGGCCATTGTAAGCAATGCTGTAATGAACATATGGATGCACACATTTCCTTGAAGTAGCATTTTGTGATTTTTCAGATAAATACCCATAAGTGGGATTACTGGGTCCTTCTTTAGCTCTTGTTGTAGCCTTTGTTTTAAAGTCTATTTTGTCTGGTGTAAGTATTGCTACTCCAGCTTTTGTTTGTTTGTTTGTTTTCATTTTCATAAAATCTCTTTTTCCATTCCTTTACATTCAGCCTCTGTGTGTTTTTCAATCTGAAGTGTTTGTAGGCAGCATATGTAAAGGTTTTTTCTTATCCATTCAGCCTTCCTATGTCTTTTGATTGAAACATTTAATTCATTTACATTGAAAGTAATTGTTGATAGATATGTAGTCATTGCATTTTATTATTCATAATTTTGATTTTTCTTTTTTTCATCTTAAAGAAGTCCTTCTAACATTTCTTGTAATACTGATTTGGTGGTGATGAACTCCTTTAGCTTTTTGTTGTCTGGGAAGCTCTTTATCTGTCTTCAATTTTAAATGATAGCCTTGCTGAGTAGGGTACTCTCGGTCATAGGTCCTTGCTTTCCATTGCTTTGAATATTTTGTACCAATCCCTTCCGTTCTGCAAAATTTCTGTTGAGAAATCAGCTGACAATCTAATGGGAACTCCCTTATAAGTTACTTGTTGCCTTTCTCTTGCAGCTTTCAGGGTTTTTCTTTGTCTTGAACCTTTTCCATTTTAATTATAATGTGCCTTGTTGTGGGCTTCTTTGGGTTTATCTTGTTTGGGACTCTGCACTTCCTGGGCTTGTATATCTATTTCCTTTGCCAGGTTAGGAAAAGTTTCAGTCATTATTTCTTCAAATTAGTTTTCAATCCCTTGCTCTCTCTCCTCCTTGATTCCCCTATCATGCAGATGTTGTTACACTTGATGGTCTCTCAGAGGTTTCTTAAACTATCCTCACTTTTTAAAATCCTTTTTTCTTTTTGCTGTTCCAACTGGTTGTTTCTTGCTACTCTGTCTTCCAAATTGGTGATTTGAAACTCTACATCATCTAGTATGTGGGTGATTCCTTTTAGTGCATAGTGCATTCTTCATTTCAGTTATTGTAGTCTTCACTTTTGACTCGTTCTTTTTTATGTCTTCTATATCCTGTTTTACACTTGCTATCTCTTTGTTGAAGTTCTCACTAAGTAAGCATCCTTATAACCATTGCTTTGAATGTGTATCTGGTAGGTTGCTTGCCTCCATTTCACCTAGTTCTCTATCTGGAATTTTCTCTTGTTCTTTCATTTGGGATGTATTTCTTTGTGTCTTTATTTTGGCTGTCTCTCTGTATTTGTTTCTATGTATTTGGTAGATCTGATACATCTCAAACTCTTGGCCAGGTGGTCTTATGTAGTAGGTGCCCTGTGGGGCCCTAGCACAGTCTCCCTGGTCACCTATGCTGGGTGCTCCAAGAGCATCCCTTGAGTGGGTTGTGTGTCCTCTGTTATAGTTGAGACTTGATTGCTATTGGCACATCAGTGGGTGGAATTGACCCCCAGGCTGACTGGCTGTTGGGTTTTGCCACATCCACAGCTTACAGGGTGCTGTGTGTGTGTGTGTGTGTGTGTGTGTGTGTGTGTGTCTTACCCCCCTGAGTGGAATTCACACCAGCTAGCTCTAGTGCCTGTTGAGACCACCCTTTGTGTGTGCCACTTGTAGGGTTAATGGCTGGTGCTCTACTGTGGTTTGAAGCCAACCTCCAAGTATGTTGGTTCTGGGGCCTTTGGGGAGGGGCTCCAGTGCAGGCGCAGGTCACCCACTGCCTGTGACTGGCTGGGGACTACCTGGTAGGAGCTACAAAGTGAAACGTGGTTGCTCATTGCCTGTGCTAAACTTAGAGGCACATGGGAGAGGCCACACTGCAAACTGAGGATGTCTGCCAACATTACCAGGCCTGGGGTAGCTCTGTAAAAATTCAGGATACCCTGAGGCCTGCTGCCACCTGCCAGCTCCCTTAAAGTTCAGTCTCTGATAAAGTCTCATGTAGTATGCTCATTGGGTTAGGTGGAGTCTCAGGCAGTTACTAGAGTAGGAAGCATTGTGGTCACCAGGTTAATGTAGAGTTTAGGGATATATATATATATATATATATATATATATATATATATAGTATCATGTCATCTACAAATAATGAGAGTTTTAGTTCTTAGTTTCCAATTTGGATGCCTTTTATTTCTTTTTCTTGTCTGACTGCTGTGGCTAGGACTTCCAATACTATGTTGAATAGAAGCCTTTTAACAAAAAGTATTCCAGAAGTGTTTAGGAGAAGATATATTCACAATGGCTTTGATTGGGACAGCGGGACTTTTTTAGTCTATGTATGTCTTTCTTATCCTCCATGCTTCCTTCTATTATATCTTTGTTTATTACTTCAATTCCATTTATTCTAGTTTGCTCAGGACCACTTATTTTATATATGTTGGTTCTTCAAGTCTATCACATATAAAATGTTACAGTCTCCACAAGCATCTCAAAATCTTGATGACCATTTTATCATGGTACCCTCTCTCCCTAGGATATCTGCAGAAGGCCAGAATATAGACAACAAGCTTATCTGTGAGTTTGCACTTAGTCACTTCAAAAAATATAAGGTGGAGATTTCAGATGCAGTAAAAACGACATTTCCTTTCCTTGAACTTCTCCGTGACCGTGGATTCATCACCAATGAAAGATATGACGTAAGTGAGGTTTAATATGTCACAATCTGGTAAACCAGCCCCAAACTTAGTTATGCTTTGATATTCTGCAATAAAAAGTAGGGGCATAACTAGCCAATGGAAGAGTCTCCTTATGAATGGGGACCTTTTCCAATATTGCCGTAAGTGTTCCTATAAGGTAAAAAGGAAGAAGAGAAGCAGGCATCACTGGAGACTGTCCTGCTCCTAATTGAAGGAATGGTGCTGCGTGGTGCCCATGGGAGTTGGAGAATCGCAATAGAGATAGGCTGGATCTGACGTGGGTGTGCTTTGTAGACGTATAATGACTTGTAGGAATGCATACAACATAGCATAAACTAGGAATTAAAAGTAATTTTAATGTATGGATAAATAAATTTAATGAATTGATTTAATGAAATACTATTTGACACAGCACTTCATTTCAATGGACAGCAATTTAAATATTTAGAACTGAGAACATTAAAATCCACAGAGAATTAATGTCTTGCTAGGACAATTTTGGAAGTAGATGCTAGCTCTACTTTCTCTAACAGTTGTCAGTTTTCTTTTCTTTTGATATATCTGGCATCTTGGGGTTCAGGTTAATTTTAGCAAAAGACCTAGGTGGAGAAACAGAGATGCAAGACTTCTCTATCGGTAGGAAAGTGCTTTCTTTATGGCATAGTTCACAGTAGGAGGAAAGTCATCAGCTAGCTTCCTTGAGCCCTTCCAGGCCAAGCCAGTCCTAGGGAAGGGACAAGGTTTTCCTGTAAGTAGAACAGTTGCTCATCAACTGCTGAGTCTACTCCTAAAATATTTTGTCAGGCTCTGAAAGGGCTACACATCATTTAACTTGAACCCATTTTATTCTTCAGAAATGTTCTTTCTTCCATCTAATGTAAATGAGAGTGAGGAGACCAGATTCACAAGTGGATATTTTCAAGGAGGAAAGATTTATTCATTTCATAGTTGCCATACAAATACATAGAAATTTTAAACATGAGAAGATACCAACATAGGAAAACTTTAATACATTATCAGTAAAATCACTTTCTAGAGCTCTTCTGTAATTTGGAAGTCTGTGTTATTTTCTTCATTCATTGTTTTTTAAGATTTATGAAGATTCTGCTAGAAACCAGGTCCCTGTACAGAAAGTGGTGTACAATGCTCTCTGTGATCTGGAGAAGACATTTGACCTCCCACTTCTGGAAGTCTTATTCAGCGATGTCCTCAGGAGGACCTATCCTCGTTTAAACAATATCTATGAAAGCTTCAGAAAAGGTAATTAGGTTTATTAACTACCTTTCAATGTCCAGGGCCAGCTTTTTCAACAAGTACTTACTGAGCGTCTACCGTCTACCTCACATGGGGCTATGCAGTGGGGATACAGCAATTAAAAAAACAGACATATCATGAGCCTTCTCAAATCCTATGATAAAATGGCCATTGGCACAACACCCACCTGGAGGTCTGCTTAACCAGGCATTTAGACTCACAGGACAGCCAGATGCACAGTGGCATCAAATTTACTTAGAAGGACAAATGACAGGGAACACAGCATCCCAGAAAGGCAGCATCAGTTGCTCCTCCTGTGTGTCGCCCCTTGCAGCGATCCGCACAGCAGTCCACCAATTCAACATCCGCCTTCCTTGAGTGACAGCTTGTCTGTGGGTGCGGGATGCATCCTGCCTCAGCAGCACCATGCCCATGGGAGTCAATGTCTCATGTAACCACTCTGCAGTCATAGCTTCCAGGAGCCCCACGAGGGACAGCCACGTTACAAGAGTCACCACACTGAAGGAAGACCAAAAATGGCTGATAGTTCACATACAGTTCCTCGCAGGCCACACTCATGTTATCTACCTACAATCACAGGTCACTTTTCACCCTAAACCCAGTGTTGGCCTAGAAACACAAAAGAGAGGCCACCTTTATCTGGTGTCCAGAGTAATGAGCAAGAAAGTCAACCCCAGGTCAAATCTACCCTTAAAAGACGGACAAATCACTGTATTAGCTCTTTTCCCACAAGGGGTGAAACAAACATTAATCAAATAATCAGAAAAACCAATTGCTCTGCCCGTGACTGTTTTTGATACTGTATAAAGCTATAGGTTCAATTCACCACTTTTTCCTGAGACTCATTATTTTATACTTTTTAATTGGTACTTAGTAAAGAAGATGTCTCTCCAATAATTTTTTTACATGCTTAGAATACTTTTTATTTCAGCAGTTTAATATCAACCAGGATCTCCAAATAAAGATGGAGAATTCACAAGAAACATGATTACGTGAACTGAGGAGGGCAGATGCTAAGGAAAAAGGCATAGAGTATGAAAGGGCCCAGTGTGTCTGAAAAACAAGGACAATTAGATTTTTCTCAATCAGAAACTGAGAAGCAGGTCTAGGGAGTTGATTCAAAAGGTATAAATTTGAAGTAGATTTTGGAAGGTCTGGCATCTAAACTAAGGAATTTCAAATTTATTTACTAGACATTAAAGAGATATTATAGGTTTATTACCCCAGATGATGCATCTGCCATCAGCCTTGAGCAATGTGGACCCACTACCTGTCTAGTCTCCTCCTCCCTGGAATCCCTCCAGATACCCATCCCCAGTCTTCTTGGTTTACTTCGTTTCTCTCTACATTTGCTGGGTACCATCCTGCAGGGGCTGTGGGCTAGTGCCCTGGCCTGCACTCCTGGGTCCCTGGTCCAGGCATCTTTGGGACGTCCCCCCAGCACCACAATGTGTGTCCTGCTTTCAGCTTCAGAGAATGTCCTTCCTTTGTTCCTGGGACCTGAGCACCCCCGGAAGGTCTGTCTAGTTGCTCTGGTTTGTCCTCTAGGAAGTGCTCATCCTCCCTGACCCAATTCAGTCAACCCTCCTCTTGTCCAGCCCCACCATTAAAGCTGTTGGGCTTCCTCTTTTATACACGCGGAGCTCACTAGGACCCTAGTTCTCCCACCAAGGAAATCCCTCTGTTTCTTCCTTACAGTTTGAACAGTCAGAAAACACATTTCAATTCCAGTATTTATTTTGATATGTGCTTTCCCAGCCATCTGAAATTTTTTTGCATGAGTAACTGGCTCACAATGTTTCCACAACTCCTTCATCCTGACACTTGAGTGGCCCCGCTCTGTGTGGGAGACATAAAGGCTCCGTTGTTGGGGGTCCTCCTTCTGTCCCAGGGATGAAGGGGGGTCTTTACCATGAGGATTGGGACCCACTGAGCCCTGAGTGACCTGAGGGCTGGGAATTCCTAAACATGTAAATTTGAGATGTTGTATATGGTCTCTGATGAAGACCTTTAATTGTCTTCTCTCTCCCTCCATTCAGTGATCAAAGAGAAATTTTTTCACCAAAAAAGTGATAGAGTTGAGAGTGTGGACAGCCCTAATACCCAGCTAAAGCTTAAACAAGGTAACTGCAACCTGATAAAAACCAATTCTCAAATGATAAGAGGTAAGAAGAAAGGGAGGTGGGGTCCTGTCCTGAGTGGAGACTGGGGACCAGGCACAAAACACCGAGTAGCATGGAGAAGGCAGGGAGGGCTGATCCTGGAGGAGGGGCTTTGACAAGAGACCATTGGCCAGGTGACAAAGTCAAAGGAACAGGAATCCAGTGTTTCAGTCAGGAAACCAGATTTAAAGAGAATGATGACCTGGAAGTAATTGTGGTTTACAAGGCCCCTTAGGAGAAGATCAGTATGAAACTGTGAAGGGCTAAGAACAATGGGGCCCAAGGTCAACATCAAAGAGGAGACCCTTGATGATCACAGATGAAGGGACTGATTAAATGTGGAGGATGATGTTTAAGAGCAGGACTATTCAAAGAGAAAGTCAGTCATCTAGAAAGAAAAGACAGGAAGTGGTAGAGGTGTGGAGAAGAGGATGTGTGTACTTTGAGAGAAGGAAGAAGGGAAATGAAAGACGAGCAAAAGGGGTAACACACACACACACACACACATACACACACACACACACACAGAGTAAAAACAACCATAGTATTAAGCACTCACTTATTGAATGTTCACTCTGGCAGTTGTGGTTTAGTGCTCACACTACCATTAGGGGTTAGTATTACTTAAGTGCCCATTTTGCAGATAAGGAAACTGAAATCAGAGAGACCAGGTGTATGGGTTAAATGAGCAGGGACAGACCCAGGCATTCTGAACTCAGAGCCTGTGTTCTGAACCCTGGATATACCCAGATAATCTCATGGAAAAGACAGAAACATGAGACCAAAATAGGGAAACATTTGCAGAGAGAGATACAGAAAGGAGAACACCAGGAGCTGGAGGAAGTGGAGGAGAATCAGACACTGAACCTCAGGCAAAGGCCAGCAAGAGAGAGTGAACAGAATGCAGAGGGAGGGTGTGGTGTGAGGGGTGCGGTCGAGGCACCAGGACTCTGTAGGAAGTAAGGTACGGCCACTGTCAGGGGCAGCTCTGGGGACAAAGGCAGGTTTGCTATGGCCATGGGCGACAAGAAAAGCCATCGCCAGTTAACAAGTGGCTCTTGGAGGACACTAAGTGAGGTGGCCTCTCTGAGACCAGGTGTGCTGCTGATGGCAAGAGTCCTGTGGGATCTTCCAGGTCCAGATGGGCTCTGCATTGACACCTGGAGGGGGTCTTCAAACTCTACTTTATAAAGATTAAAAAGGGATTAGGGGAGAGTGGCACCTCTCACACTTCAATTTGTGGAAAAAAACTTCTAATTTCTGTCCCCTAGGAACTGGAGAAAACTGCCTCTCCTGGATCTACACAGACACCTGGCATGACAATGGTCTGTATCTGTTGACTGCTGTTTGATCCTTCGCTGTTCTTGTCCCATTTTCTGGGGGTGAGAGTGGGGGTGGGAGGATGTTGCCCCTTTTTGTACTGATTGCCCAGGATTGTCCATCTTTGCATCCTTAATTTCTCCAAGGACCTACGTACCAGACTCTTCATTTCCTTGGTTGCCTGTGAGAGCTGCTCCTCCCACCCTCCGTCAATGTACTTGCTGCCAGTTCCTCATGGTCTGGGCCAGCATGTTTTGTCCATGCCCCTGGCTTCACAGTTTACTGCCTCCGTGTTGCTTGAATCTAGCCAAGGCCCCTGTGCCTTGAGGTCACATCCAGCAGTGGGTGGCCAGCGCAGCAGCGGCAGTGGTGGGGGAGGGGTGGTGAGTGTGTTTCTCCTGGGCCAGGGTTCCTCACCTGTTGGGTCCCTCACAGAGGACGTTGGACACTGTGTGCCTCCCGTGCAAGCCCTCTCCCTTCATCGCTGGGGCAGCAGGCCAGGAGCTGCCCGCCAAACTCCAGAACGGCCTCTGAAAAAGCACTGGTACTTTAGCAACCAATACCACTGCTTATACTCATGACCTTCCCTTAATCTATAACACTCAATAACGTTATTAAATTATTTAAATATTATAAATTCAAGACACTTTTAGTTATAATGACTTAATTTTCTGATCAGTCACAATATCTCTTATAGTCAAACAGGTGATATTTCATTTACTCTTCTCAAACACCTTAAAATCAGCAGTTTTCAACCTGTGGGTCATGACCCCTTTGGGGGATGAACGACCCTTTCACAGGGGTCACCTAAGACCATCGGAAAATAAAAATATATTAACATTACGATTCATAACAGTAGCAAAATTACAGTTATAGAGTAGCAACGAAAATAATTTTATGGTTGGGGGTCACCACAACATGAGGAACTGTATTAAGGGGTTGCGGCATTAGGAAGGTTGAGAACCGCTGCCTTAAAATGATGGTATATCAACCTCATTTTTCAGAGGACAAAGAATCAGCTTAGAGGGTTGGCTATTTGTGTAAATTCACCCACTGAGACAAGGGATTGAACTCTGTTGTGAGGTGGTGTCAGAGCAGGAGGACTGGTGACCAACTGCCTGGCTTCAGATTGTGCCCTGTGACCTTGGGAAATTGACTGCCCCTCTTTGTCCCACAGTTTCATCATCCATAAAATGGATGTGATAATAGTACCCACTTCACAGGGTGATGGATTTGAAACAATTTCTGTCTTGTCAAGCATTCGCTCTCATGCCTGGTGCTTCCTCAGTATTTTGTGCATTTGCTAATGTTGCTATTCAATGATCATTATTATATGTATCTGGTACCACAGTCTAAGCCTTTAACCATGACAGCAAAGTTGGGGATTTTCCCTGCTCACATATGAACTTTGTGGATTCAATTATCCCCCAGGCTGTGGAGCAGTGATAAAAGCAATACCAACCTCAACTCCAGCAAGATAAACTGAGGACCAAGGGTCCCCATCCTTATACTATAATAAACTTCATGCCTTTATTCCATGACTCTTGTTTGGAAATGAGTGACATGGAAGAGTCTCAAGGGAACTTTGGGCACCATGGAAGGTCCCTATTATGTGGATTTCCAGTGGGATGTGTTAAGAAAGGACATTCTAAATGAATAATACATTTTTAAAAGAAATGTGATTTCTTTTTCAGAGTGATTTTTGAAAAGCATTGTTATACTTTTAGTAAATCACAGTTATTCAAAACGTTAAAATTTAAAAATGTAAAATGTACAACATGAATCAATCCAAATTCTTAGCTGTGCACCTGCCAGGGGCAGCTGGTGGAAACAGGGAGGTGTTAGTGGAAGGAATTATGACTAATAATAAGCAGAAGAGAAGAATGTCAGTGTGTGTGTGTGTGTGTGTGTGTGTGTGTGTGTGTGTGTGTGTGTGGCGTGAGGAAAGGAAGAAGCAAGGACATTATAACCCAAATGATGTTCACCAACCCACCACCAACCCACCAGTACGTGTGTCCAAGAGCCTGACCAGTGATATGCAGGGATGAGGGAAGGGCTGTGTCTCATGCCCATTGCCCCAAGAGGAGGCTCCAAGGAACTCTGAATGTGACACAAAACATGTGCCAGGGCCCACGTTCTATATTAGTATTTTGGGGATTACTTTTAAATCATACTTTGCTATGTTTAAAAAAAATAGCACTAAATGAAAAAATTCAAATGCCCTGAAAAAATTATTATCCATTCATACACTACTGAGATTGTTGGGAATGAGTGGGATGGGTCAGTGAAATCCATAATCCGCCGAGGGAGTCGCCATGGGGGAGGGCGTACGCTGGACCTCGGTGGTTTGCACAGGGATTCATTGCTTATCGTTTCCTGCTCTGCTTTGCCCTCTATCTCTGACCCCTGGCCCCTGCAGACTTGCTTGCCAGCTCTTTTGCTTGCTGGCTTCCTGCTGGCTTCCAAACATGGGAGACACTGCCAGCAAGACAGGAGGAGCCAGGGAGGAGCCGAGTGTTTTCCCTGCAGCTGCCTCACGCAGCAATTCTGGCAGCAGCTGCATCTCACCTGTAACACCACCTCCCACCAAGCAGGCCAGCCATGGTCCAGCTTCTACCCATCCAGTGACCCTGGCCTTTGGGCTCACCCCTTGTCCCTCTCATGGCTTCCTGTTGACTATTATTCCATTTCTATTTCTCAGGGGTTTTTTTTGTTTTGTTTTGTTTTTTTGTTAGTTTCAGGTGTACAGAACAATGCAATAGTTATCCTTTTCACCCTTCACACAGAAACAACCCCCCTCCCCCCATCTACTGCCCTCCCACCCCCGATATCATGCTTATCTATTACAATTCCATTGACTCTATTCCACACTCTACTCCCCGTCCCATGACTATATGTATATATAATTATAGTTGACATACATTATTATTCAACATCAGCTTCAGAAATACAGTGCGGGGGTCAGGCCTCTACACCAACTATGAAGTGGTCTCCCTAACAAGATATGAGTCCATCTGGCCCCCTCAAAAATATTTACAACATTATTGATTATTTTCCCCAGACTGTCTTTTCTATCCCTGAGGCCATTTGTAGTTACCAATTTGTATTTTCTCATCCCTTCCCCTTCTCCTTCATCCCCACACCCTCCCAACTAGCAACCCTCAGTTTTTCCTCTGTGTCTGAGACATCTGTGTAACCAACCCCTGGATTAAATTCCCTCTACTGTATTAGCTTAGAGTGGTTTATATTTTAGTGTTGGATCCTGATTGATACAGGGGTGAAATTAAATATTTATGAGTCAAAATGTGCTTTAGGTACAACCCCACCTGAAAGTGGACTGTCAGGGCTCCTCTGTGAAACAGAGCAGATAAATACACTGAGAAACAATGCAACCGGTGACAACAATGATGCGCTACAAAGCCAACAAGCAAGAGAACAATGTGCCCAAGAGTCTGAGCCAGCAGGTAAGGCTGAGTGACTGGGTTTGACGAGAGTGAAGGGAAACTGGCAATTGAACGGACTCAAAGTGGTGAACAAAATTACAGGGGAAGACCATTGGTGACATGAAGAAAATACTGGGGGTGCCAAAAACATGTCTACAAGTGGACACTTTGGTCAACATTGCTCAAGCAGTAGTTCTCCTTAATTACAAGTGTCTGGACACTGATGGGAACCACGTTGAGCACCTCTTGTCATTGCAGATATCAAACATGACTTGTATTCATCTTTGTTATTGGCATATATTGAGTATTAAAATTTTAACAGTTTTTTCCTGTCTAAAAATGTGTATACATTTATTTGGCACCCTTTGTATAAAGGGATAAACTTGATATAGAATAGGCATTTACAGGTCATATTAATAATTAAGAAACAGGGATAGAGTAGGAGAAAGTGGAAAACATGACAGAGAATAGATAAACTGAAATATCACATAAGGACAGCAGGGCCAGGACTAGGATGAGGTAAGGGAGACACAGGTAAGGAAAACCTCACTCTCAGCACCTTTTTATCCTAGGCACATCCTTTGCTTCATTTTAGACTCTGCTGGGCCCTGGCAACAGTGATAAAAAGTGTAGAGACAACAAGTTTGAAGAGAGAACGAAATACAGAGGGAAATGAATACCAACAAATAAAAAAATGGGTGGAGGCAAAAAGAGAGCTATGTAGAAAACGAGTAAAGAACAATGAACGAAAAATCGGAAAACACCAGATCGGGTAAAGAAAGAGAGCAGACAAATCATTGTCTGATTTGAGGAGACAGCCACCAAAAAAAAAGGCACAAAGGGCTGTTCCTAATACCATTGAGAAGGTAAGGCATCCACAATGATTAAAATGGCCCTGGAACCCTCTCAGATAAAAATGGGCCTCTCCCAATGAAAATAAAAGCAAAACCCCAGAGTTAAGAGAGGCATAAAGGGAGAGACAGAGTTGAGCAGCTGGAAAGGAGAGAGTGGGGATAAGGTTTCCCCTGCAGTGGAATTACAAGAAGAAAGGCTTACTAATGCTAGTGAGGGGTGCCCACTCCTTTTTAAGGAGACAAATAAAAATTCTTCATTCATTACAATTTAGTCCAGGTACGGAGCTACCCAACCATGGAAACCAAGTCAATTTTTCTTCTGTGTATCTGGTGGGTATAAAGAATGAAAAGGCATTTTTTTTTAATCCAAAAGTTGAATGGCAAGTCCAAGCAAAGACTGACTATAACAACACATCTGACATAATAGGCAAGGCTGATAGAAAGAACGTGTAATGTGAATCATGGTACCGGGCAAAGGTCTGGGACATGTCATCAGGGCCCGTGGAGGCAGCCCAAGTGGCCTTGGTTACAAGCAGAAAGGGGAGAAGACCAGCCTCTCACGCAGTGAGTTCAATTCACATGGAAATTAAAAGGGAGAGCCAGCAAGGAGCCCAGCATTATGACCCTGGGCACCAGAACTGGTTTCAGTAGAAAAAAAGAGAGGGAAATGATCCTCAAACATTATTATCACAAGCTCACCTGACATGCTAGTTGTCGTAGAATATGTCAGACTATTAAGAACAAATAACTGTTTTCTCCCTTTATTAGGGGTAAAATGTCTTAGCCCCAGGTTCTGGGGACAGTGAGGAATAAATTATTGACCTAGAAGTCACATGAATACAAAAGGCAGACCATGGAGATCTGAGGGAGGGACAGCCTTGCCCTGGGTTTTCACAGTTTCCCAAGTTGTTTCTCTGTTGGCTCCTTTGCCATGCACTGTGACCGTCAAGGGACATTTGCTTCTTCTGCAGAGAGAAGAGATGAAGACCCTTTAGTGTCCAGTGTGAAGGAGAACCCAGGAGCCGGGACCTCTGGGCTGAGAAGTGGTCCTGATGTGAAGGGTAAGGACTGCCATCACTGGGCTCCAGGACCTCAGGAGTCTGAGTTCAGAGCTCCTGTTTCTCTGAGCACACACCACAGCTCCGGAGCCCATCGTCGGCATTGATCCCAGGTGGCCATTTTGAAAACTGCAAAGAAAGAAATCATTATGAATTCAGGCTTAACAAGATGGCCTGAGTTGAACGGCAGTGCTGTCCAACTACATGTTCTCAGGCATATTATCCCTGGAAGTAGTGGATTATAGAGTAATGTCCACTCCTATTCACCACGTGTTTTGTAGAGAGCAGAGAAAGTGGGGTAGTCAGCTATTGTTCAATTTTGTCACAAACTCGTTCAAAACTCAAAAACTCTGGTCCCACTACCTAACTATTGAAAGAAGGAAAAGCCTCTACTTATTACCATCAAATTTAATTTATAACTTTTGACACATGACCCTCAACATATTGGCCTGTATAATGATATTTGAAAATTAATTTGCAAAAACAGAAACAAAGATATCCTTTTATGTTTACAACCTAAAATGTAGGCCAGATGCTGTCGTTACCCCCATTCCACATAGGAGACATTCCCTTATGAAAACTTTAAAGGGTCTTTTACACATTACACATGGAAAATTACTGGAAGAGGCAGAATTATTAATAACAGCCTGGACTCCTAGAAAACATCCATAATCCTTTATTCAAAATCTCTGAAGCAAGATGTAAAATAATAATGTATTATTGTTTTACAAAGACACTGTGGTTTATATCCTGTATGTTACAAAATATTCAACAGGGTCTGGGGAAGAATCCTGTTCTTAAATATACTGTATTAATGTTTCTGCAGCAAATTGCGGGAATTCACAATGTGATAAATAAAGATTTTACAGGGACTCACGGCAGTTCAGTGCAGATTCACTGCCAAATTAGTTAGCTGCAAACCTATGAAAAAATGTTGGTTTTCAAAACTTCTTTGATTTTGCATATGGGCTAAAGGATTGTGGGTCTTTGCTGCATCTGGTAGTGATCTCTTTCCTTTAGATGGGAAGAGACAGAAATGATCATCATCTTGTCTTTATGTTCCAAATCCTTCTACAATGTAAGGAGACATAAGATTTAGCTCTTTTAGTTATAGGTCACTGGCTGTGTGTTCCTTTACTTCCACATCATGTGGACACTGAAAACAAATCTATTTAGGGGACAGGCAATTAGAAAAGAGTTAAAAAGCAGGTAAAACTTTTTATGTAACAAATGTCTTTCTTTGCTACAAAAGTTTGATTCAAATATTTTTGTTTTTTCCTTAAGATAAAAAAATTAATTTATTGGGATTTTAGATTATACACATTAAACATTCTGAAGTAGGTGGGCTGGGCTAATTGGTATAAAAGTTCAATGGCACAAATAGAGTACAAGTTTATTTTTCACTCAATTAAAGGATAAATTAGTTCCGCTGTTCCACACAATCATTGAGGACACAGATGAGGGGTATCTGACGTCTCACAAAAACCTTAAGACCTAAACAGAATACAATCCTTGTTCTTATTCCTGACTAAACCAAAGTACAGAGGTATTTAATGGTATTTTTCTTTTTATTTATTTATTTATTTTTATTGTTAGTTTCAGGTGTACAGAACAATGCAATAGTTATCCTTTTCACCCTCACAGAGTAACAACCCCCCTCCCCCCATGTATTGCCCTC